AAAAAATAAATTACGCCTCATTAAATTACAATTAAATGGAATCGTGATCATTTGTTTTTCTGGAAGGAAGATGTTTTGCATATTGAAAGCCTAATTTGATGCAGGTGACAAAAATGCTGAACAGATTATCTAATATCACTTCATTTTGGGCGGTAATGTTTGCTGCTTAACTACTCCAGTATTTCAGAATCATATTAATATGGACATACTATTTTTGCTTCAAAATATCTTCTATCACTTTATCAGTTTTTGCGCTTTATTTTACAGCTTTTAGGGAAACCGAGGTTTGTCTTGGTATTCCCGAATAGGCATTTGCTTTCTCTTTCTTCAAATGTTCTAATACTCCCCAGTTTCACAAGCTGCCCAATTTTCATTGTAAGTCTGTATCCATGTACTATCTATATTTAAAGTTCCAGCTAAGTTAAATCGTACCTCTTCCAAAATTTTTTTCCCTGGATCCTGCGGTTGACAATACTTTCTCCCTCCTTTGAACCAAAGTGACACTAGTTCTGGCTTACATTTTGATGATGTGTGGCATCTTTTACTTTGTGCTACTATAATACCTTCTCTTTCCCATCGTAGGGTAAACTCCTAGGAAGCAGAATGTGTTTCTTATTAAATCTCTTCATTCCTCTAAGAACTTTGTATTCAATCATAAATAACAAATGAATTAATAGACTAATCTGTTATTTTTTGAGACTAGGTATATTGAATTTGGGGGTTCCCTAGAAAATTAATGGGAGATATTGGATTTAGAGGTTTCCGAGGTAATCCATGAGAGATATAGCCTGATCCTAGAGAATTACTTGTGGTCTGAGAGCCATGAAGAACAGATATCTGTTAAAATCTATTCAGTAATGACTTTAACTGTTGCTGTCAGGAGTGGCATGGACTCCCTAAGCGGCTCAGGCTCAGCATGCCTAAAACCTGGCCCAGGTGTGGGTTCTGTTATTGCTCTCTTACAGGGTTAAAGGCTCCTCAAAGATAATTTCTCACCTGTCCCAGACAAGATGTCAAAGGCTAGGGCAAAAACTTGGAAGTAAATTTTATAGAGCCATTCATGATGGCATTTCCCCGACTTTTCTGAATATCAGCATGTATCATACACACCAACAATTTGGGACCAACTACATAAAATGTTAAGGAAGGATGGAAATAAAAAACTCGTTGGCACAGAAGGTGCAGACTCAGAATCTGTAAGGTCATTTAATTTGTTATGAAGAAATATTATTTTAAAATACTAGAAAAAATAAGGGCATCAATTTTTCATAAAAAAAATTTGCCCCATTCTTTGTTGTGTGTGTAGAAGCAGCAAGCAGGCTAAATTATAAGCAAACTAGATGACATTATAGTAAATTACTGCTCATTTTGTACTTTGAATTATTTTTCTTTTAATGAATATTTTGCCGAACTCCTATATTCTTTGGTGGTCCTGGAAATCATATGAAGCCTGCAAAATGTTAATTAGGCTGTAGAAAAGGCCAATTTGAGGTTCTCTTTACCTGACTTCCTTCTTTTTCCAGTGGCTTGTAACCCAAGAATTATTTTGGAGGGTATCGCTCTACCTTGTGCAGATGTTCCTTCTGCTCCTTTTAGTCAACATATTTCCTGGTCTTACATGATCTCAGCTCACACTGTGGAGGGAATTGTTTTAATGTGTCCCTGGAGAAGCTTCTGTTGCCTATGATGAGGAAAATACTTAATGATCACTTTACTCAATACTTGCAATATATTTTAATATGATTACTGATATGAAAGTTTAATAAGCTATATCCTGGTTAATTTATTAATTTCCCTCCATTTGCACATTCTCAATATTCATGACCTTTCTATTCATAAAAGTAGATCTTTTTTTTCAGTGCCCAGGTGCTGTGCCACATTTTCTATGTCCCAGGCTACATAATGGGAATGTCCAACTGACACCTCCAGCTTGGCTGGTTGATAATTAAAATGCCAGATGACATAGTGGCAAGGGCTTTAGAAATATTTATGTGAGATAAATTATTAATTTATGTTCTATTCAAGACAGTTTCAATATGATAAACATTTACTTATCTTGATAATTAGATGGGGTGATTTGTGGTATATGAAAGTTATGCTGTCTATTTTCTTCTGATCTTTTTCTCCTCTGATGATTTTCAACTAACAAAATAGACTCACTTTCCATTTATGAGACTGCAGAATTTGGACTACATTTTTAAACATCCCAGTCTTAATAGTTAAAAGCACATAAATAACCCAAATGAAAAACACTCAACAAAACAACTAAAACTCTTCTTGTGCCCACCAGTGAGTCACTTGTTATTGAAAATGTCTGTGGTGAAAAGAATCTGCTTTGGGACCATAGCTACACAGATGAGAGTTTTAGTAAATAATTTAGAACAGTGTTCTGATTCTCTGGGGGTAAGATATGTAGGTGACACTAGCTACCTTGTTGGTTTGAGGCTTTATCTTCAATTAAGCATGTGAAACAGAGGCAACAGTATATTCCACCAGCCTTTAAAAATCTAAATATTGTATTCACCTCAGAAATGGATGATCAGTCATTCTCAAGGATACTTCATCTTGATTTTTTTTTTTTTGGAAATGGATTAATTTCCCTGCAAGCTTGTCCAGTATATAAAAAATGTAGGAGAAGGAGCTATATAGTTTTAAAATGAAAAAAAAAAAAAACAAGAAAGAAATTGAAACACTCTGGTTTTTAAATTTTTTTTAAATTAAGGATGAGCAAACATAAATTTGAGCCATGGTTCATTAGAATAGTATTTTTGTTATGTCACTATTTTGTATCCAAAATGTTTGCTGTAATATACTCCACAACTTGTGAAAATAATTTCACAGGGGAAGAATAAATTTATAAACTTTGCCTTTGAGATCTCTTGAGTATAATGATAATAACTAAAACAATTTATCTATGTTGACCCTAAAACTCCTTCAAGTTTTAGTCATTTGAAATTTATTGAAATCCCAAATTTATGTATGATCATGAAAGAGCAAAAGAGGAAGGAGGGAGAGAAAAGGAAAAAGACCAACTCATCCTTTATATGCAGAATTTATCATTAAAGAAGACTCAGAAAATAACAAAAGAAGACTCAGAAAATAACAATCTTAGTGGTCTTTACTGGTATTGAAAATTGAAATCCACTTTGCTCTTGCTTCTCTGCATATTCATTTGAAGATTTGTATGTTGAAAACCAATTCATTATGAATATTTCAGGTTGCTTAGTGCAAGTGGAAAGTAGGGTAACTTTAGGCAGTACTGACTTTTAATTTCAGAGTGAATACCTAGATTATATCACATTTTCTGGAAGATAAGTGTCTCACTCGTTTCTTCTAAAAGCATGACAGGAAATGTGGATGTTTTCAAGAATCATGTACCAGTCGGTTGTTTTTACATACACATCCTATCTTGTCTCCTCCTTTGGGCATGCATGCATACACACTCACACAGTCACACACACCACACACTGATCTCTAGCGTTTATACCAGGTATTATTTAGAATTTCTCTAAATCAAAGTTACATGACACCCAAATTGTGAAACTGACAGATGACATAGTGCTTGTAAGGTTCCTGGTAGTAGAATTGACTATGTGATGTTCTGAGTGGTGGCTGCTTCCTTGGAGTGCTATGTGACACACTGCCTATAAGTGGCATTTGCTTCACTATGTTATAATGCATTGCTTTATTTTAAAACATTGCCTATCTTACCCTGAAGATTTTTGGACCACCAGAGATAGCATATTCCTCTTACATCCATTGCCTTTTCATATTAAAGCCACATATTAGAAATCTGATAGTGTTTCCTTTGCATTAATTTTCACCTGAGTGGAAACGTCTTTGGCATCTGTTCTACTTGACTACAGTTAAAGAAGTGACTTTTCATGATTTGAGTTGCCCCATCTGTTCTAAGATATGGGATTAACATTGCCGCTCTTCCCAGGGGGATAATCCTAAACCCTGTCTTATACTGCTCTGAGAAGCAGTATTAGCTGGGAATATAAAGTGATGTCTCCATGTGATAATCCAACAAGTGTGCAGAATGGAAATGAATCTGCACCGACCCCCAATACTACAGTGTCCCACCTTAGATCTCCAACCCTTTTCTGGAGTCCATACTGTTCTGGAGACTTGGCAACACTTTTCTTTTCTTTGTGAATTCTCTGTCGTCAGAGCACATGAAAACACTAATTTCCTATGTAAAGCTTTTCTTTTGGGTGAGTCACACATTCAGAAAGTGTCTGGGCCTATCATAGCACTCCATGTTGTTATGCTGTGCTCAGCCCTACACCAGAGGTGCCTTCACTTTCATTGCTTTACTGGTGAGATTAGGGCTTCCCCCATGAAGATATCTCATAAAAGATTCAGGTGCCCTCCATACATATGTAAGGGTAACTATTGTGTATGTGGATTGGGAAATTATGAGAGGATTAATACAATGTAGCCATTTGCTCTGTGTATTTTTTTTTTTTTTTTTTTTTTGCCATTAAGAAATATCTATATTGAAAACAGTGGCCGGTCATACAGAGATTTAGCCAATTTTTTTTTTAATTGATGTAAATCTCCCATGCTGTTTAAATGTCGAAACTAAATTTACCAAACTTGGCAGATTTGTAAAGCTAAGCAGGACTGCCAAGTGTTCCCAGTTTCAAGCAGAGAGAGTTCTAACAGTTCCTGAAATACTTGTAGGAGGCACCTGGTGGTAATTGCAGTTTCACAATTCTTCCCAAGTGCCTACCTTGCTAGCTGGCATGTCTCTACACCGATGATTATTACAGTGTTGATAAAGTGTCAGAATAGAACAGTCCTAAAATAATGCATATCCCCCAGAAAGCAAGTACATTCCCTTCATACCAAAGAACCCTACAGAATTAGCGTGAGGTTCTTGACATCACAGCCAGCTAGTTAAACCAAGCAAAAGGAGAGAGGGGCAGAAGACAGAAACCACATACATATACCTGCAAATGTGACTTGGTGTATTTTCTCCCTCATCTAATCAGGGATTGTTGTCTGAGATTCTGCGTAAGGAAGAAGACCCTCGGACAGCCTCTCAGTCTCTTCTAGTAAACCTGAGGGCCATGCAGAATTTCCTCAATCTGCCAGAAGTGGAGCGAGATCGCATCTACCAGGACGAGAGAGAGCGGAGCATGAATCCCAATGTGAGCATGGTCTCCTCAGCCTCCAGCAGTCCCAGCTCCTCCCGAACCCCTCAGGTGAGAAACTTGCTCTCCGGAGTTTTCACTCTTTGACTTGGAAACATCTTGCCTTCACTACTTACTGTGTTTTCCCTCGAACACTAAGAGACATAATTCAAGGCTCGGCTCCCCTCCCCTCCCCTCCCCTCTCCTCCCCTCCCCTCCCCTCCCCTCCTCCCTCCTTTTTCTTCTCTCCTCTCTTCTTTTTTCTGAGAAGTAGTCTTACTCTGTCACACAGGCTGGAGTGCAGTGGTACAATCTCAGCTCACTACAACGTCCGCCTCCCGGGTTCAAGCAATTCTTCTGCCTCAGCCTCCCAAGTAGCTGGGATTACAGGGGTCCACCACCACACCCGGCTAAATTTTCTATTGTAGTATAGACAGGGTTTTACCATGTTGTCCAGGCTGTTCTTGAACTCCTGACCTCAGGTGATCTGCCCACTTCAGCCTCCCAAAGTGTTGGGGTTACAGGCATGAGCCACCATGCCAGGCCAATTCAAGGATTTCTTAATCTGCTGAACACGTTGGTCAAAGGATATGAACCTCTGACCATATGATCTCATACTATATTTTCTATCCATTTAGGAAGTCCCATTCTTCCATATATGGTAGGTGAGGGGTGGGTAGGCAGAAGTGGGCACAGGGGCAGGCTCTAGGATGTTTATATATAGCTGCTCAGTTGCTGAAAAAGGAGTTAGGCATTTGTGCTGAAGCTGAGTTTGCATAGCAACACGTTGCTTTCCCTTAAATTGTATGTTTATTTGGTTTGGCTGGATGGGCTGAAGGATGGCTGGGGGTAGGGGGCAGAGGGTAGTTTAAGCTCTGTTTTATGTAGTCTGAAAAAGACAAAATGGAGAAACACTTGTAGTGGAAGCATGCATATGCAGTGGCTAGATAAGAATGACTGAAATGTCACTTGATGATCCTCTAGAAAATGATGGTGGAAAGGTAGGCCTTAATTATTTTCCTTCCTAGATTGATCTCCCCACAGGATTTGGTGATTTCCATTCTTCTTCACATACTTGAAAAGTATTCTTTTCTTAGACCTCATGCAAATGTATACATCTAGTAATGTGTGCCTCAAAGCTCCTAACTCAAGGGTCAAGTTCTCAGCAGTCAGAGATCATTTCCAGTTCACATCCAAGTCCACTCATTTCTGGCCTACCCCTATTTCCCCTAAACTTTTACTACTCGATAGACTTACGATAAAGCCAGCCCATTCACTGTTGCTACAATGGTTGCAGGTTCTGAGTGATAATTCTTAAAACCAATATTTAATAGGTATACATTTTTTTCTTTTTGAGAAGGAGTCTCGCTCTGTTGCCCAGGCTGGAGTGCCGTGGTGCTATCATGGCTCACTGCAACTTTTGCCTCTCGGGTGCAAGTGATTCTCCTGCCTCAGCCTCCTGAGTAGCTGGGATTACAGGCATGTGCCACTACACCAGGCTAATTTTTTGTATTTTTAATGAAGATGGGGTTTCAGTAAGTTGGCCATGCTGGTCTCGAACTCCTGACCTCAAGTAATCCACTCACCTTGGCCTTGCAAAGTACTGGGATTACAGGTGTGAACCACTGTGCCTGGCCTAATGGATATACATTTATATAAATCTGAAAAATGGGTGGTTGAAAAACCAAAGGTTATTTTGATTAGATATTATAGCTTTGGTTTTGTGAGTATTTTCTAATAAATTCTAAGGAACTGATTAAACATAGAAGCAGAATTGCATTCTAGTAGTATTTGAGCTTTTTCAAGTATATCCATTTTTTCACACATTTTTGTACTCTGCAATAAACTTTTAATTGAAGATTACTTTCTATCATGTACTGCCAAATTTTGTCCCTTACACTTCAGTCTTTAGTGAATTATGAGGTTTAGTTACTGATTAAACCAAAAATAAGTCTCTTGACTGCTTACTTTGGATGAGTGTTACCAAGGATTTTTATTTATTTTTTTAAAAATCTGGGGAATACATATTGAGGTAGTAAGTTGGGCAAGTTGTTAATGTACACTAATATTTACTTCTGCTAAATTCATCAATATTTTTGCCACTTTTGAAGCCTATTTAAACCATTAGAGAAGAGTCCAACCATACTTCATGGCCACTTGACAAGGCAGCTGTTCTTAGAAAGTTGCTTCTACTTGTTAGAAAATAACACAGGTCTGTGTGTTTGTTTTCAGCTCTTCTATACTATTTTCCTAACAAGATTATATATTGTAGGTACCTTTTCAAAGACCTGATAGCTTTCAGTGCTAGACTGACTTAAAAGTCCACACAGGGTCAATATTTTGCTTACTTTGAGCAGAATCCCATCTAGAAAAATAGTTAAAGGTGCCCTTTAGGGATAGGTATAGCAGGGAAATTGCTTATTTAATTTTACAGTTTTGAGATTTTTGAAAATAAATATTTCAACATGTTTTTAAGAATGCAGTCATGGCGGCCGGGCGCCGTGGCTCAAGCCTGTAATCTCAGCACTTTAGGAGGCCGAGGCGGGTGGATCACGAAGTCAAGAGATCGAGACCATCCTGGTCAACATGGTGAAACCCCGTCTGTACTAAAAATACAAAAAATTAGCTGGGCACGGTGGCATGTGCCTGTAATCCCAGCTACTCAGGAGGCTGAGGCAGGAGAATTGCCTGAACCCAGGAGGCGGAGGTTGCGGGGAGCCGAGATCTCACCATTGCACTCCAGCCTGGGTAACAAGAGTGAAACTCCATCTCAAAAAAAAAAAAAGAATGTAGTCATGGCATTGCATTTGTACATTCTCTAGAATTGTGTTCTTTTTCTCTTGGGTAAAGATTGAGAAAGGAGAATTTATTAAAGTCTTTTAAAACATTTTGTGATTACCAACTTAAAATTCTTTATAGACATCTGAACAGTAAAGATCGTAGTACAGTACAGATTTCATTGTGAGAACATGTATTAGAGGAGTACTTACTGAATCAGCTTTTGAGTTGGAGTCAGCAATTTAGTGTACACAGGCAGCTTTACATTGATACAGGGAGATTATTTTCCAGACCCCATGTGTACTTTGTTAGTAGCTGAAAAACAAATTGAAGAAATTTCAGATTTGAAGTTACACCTCCAGTCTCATTTTATTTCTTCAGTTGGCCAGCATTCCTTGGTGTACTTACTAATAACAAAATAATACTAAGATAAGAATGATCATTTGTTAAAACGCTTACTGTGTATTAGGTATTGTGAACGTTTAGCATGAATTCAATTGTCACTATTTTGTGGTATTGTGCCTATTTTACAGATGAGGGAACTGAGGTTTAGATGGATTCAGTAACTTGTGTAAGGTCACATGGCTGAGTGGAAGAGGTAGGATGTGAACTGTAGTTTCTCTGATTCCAAAAGCTGGGCTCTCAACCATATTTTGTAGTTCCTTGAGGGGTTTCATTTTAGCCCTCATGGTTCTAAAGAAGATTTGACCTGTCAGGTAGGATGAGATCCTCAGTGAAGCAAATTAAGAAAACTGAACTGAGAAAGACAGACATGTACAGGGAAAGCCCTGTGGGTTAACTAGAAATTTTGAGCAGAAAAAAGGGTTTCTTTTAAAAAATTACAGAGAATTGAATTTTAATGGGAAAGTCCTAGCCTAGTAAGAGAATTCTTGTAGCAGCATCTGGCATACATTGAAGATTTTAGAGGCAGTATGTAGTGCAGTGTCCTGAGCCCATGCTTTCAAGCCTGGAAGACTTGTGTTCAGATCATGGTTCCTTCATGAGAGGCTGGGTGTCCTAGATTAAGATCTTCTTTTATTTCAGTTTCTTCCTCTTGTAAAATGACAATAAAACATCTATTTCATTGTAATCTTAAAGGAATTAAATGTGATAGCAAAAGTTAAATGCTTTCCGTAGTACCTGGCCCTTAAAAGCACACCATACATTATACTGATTCTTGCTTTGCGGTAATTAGAAAATAGTATGAGAGAAGGAGGTAGAAGGAAAATGGCAGAAGTCACTGAGCACTCTTAGGAAGCAAAGCCTTTATGGAAATGTAGGGCCTTAAGTTCTGCCTCCAGACACCATTGATCACAGGGTCCAAACTGCCTGTTAAACCTTTCTCTGCATCCTGCTGGATCCAGTGGAGAACAGCTCAGGGCATCTGCACAGAGAAACTTGTGATTTGGGGATAACTCTGTTGGTCTGGGATTCTAGGGTGAATGGGGACAAAGAAAAAAAAAAAAACAGGTTTGGCCACTTCAGCTGGTAGTGCACAAGGATCAAGGATGTCTTTTCCTAAAGTCTTGCTGCGGAGGTTCTAAGAAAATGTCTCAGCCCTCTCTTATTAGACACCAGCAAAGCGTTCTAGGGCTCACAGCAAGTAAATGTTATCACCATCTTTTGGATTAAGTAGACTTAAACATTCTAGGATTATCCTAACCCCGAGAAGTACAGACACTTTCTATATTGTCCTTCATTTGTCTCTGAAGCTGATAGGAAATCATTCAATTAAAATGAGCACGGCAGAATACATAAAACCACAATATGAGTTTAAGAAAATGAAAATGGCACATCAAAGGCATTCTGAAGCCTAGTTTTATGAAATGAAATTTTGTTTCATTTCCACTGATTTCCTAGGTGAAATTAGGTGACTGTCTGGGTAGCATAATGATGATAATGATGGGAAACCATACATACTCGAATGACATACATAAAGCTTTAATAAAGAATGAGAGAGACTCAAGAGTGCATTAAATTGAGTAATAATTTATTATTTAGAGACCTCTACCCATTTACTCATTTTTTTCTGGAAGAATTGGCTCTTCTTCCAAGGTTAGCCATTTTTAGAAAGAAAAAGGTAGCTGCATGTGTATTCTGCATGTTTGTTTTGTAGTTAGATGATTGCTTATAGTTTGGTGTCTAGGAGAGTCATCCTACCTGTGAACCATCATCTGGGATACTGTGAGAGAATAGGGTTGACAGGATTCTGCATGTCCTATAGGAATGCACTGCAATTATTTCCAATCACAATTAACCTGATTAGAATAATGGACAGGAAGTGTCCCTCTGTAGCTAATGCAGTTTGGCATCAGCTGACTGAAATCCTTTGATAATTTCTGCACAGATGGCTGGGCTGAATGCAGCACTTTTTAAATTATTATTTTCATGGTCTCTTGGTAGGCCAAAACCTCGACACCGACAACAGACCTCCCTATTAAGGTGGACGGCGCCAACGTCAACATCACAGCTGCCATTTATGACGAGATCCAACAGGAGATGAAAAGGGCCAAGGTGTCTCAAGCCCTGTTTGCCAAAGTGGCTGCAAATAAAAGTCAGGTGAGTGGTTTTTAAAAGAGCAAAATCGAGGGCTGGAATTAGACCCTTCTCCTCCTCCCACCAATAAAAATACATCTGTTCCTATAATAATAATAACAATAATAATCCCCAAGGAACTTGTCATGTTCTGCCTTTTGCTCTCCAGTTTGCTTTTATTCCCGTTGGAGTTCAAAATAGAGATGAGGCCAAAACCCCACCTTTTTTCTTTTAAAGATTAAAAAAAAAATTAGCCTGGAATAATTTATCTCCTTATTCCAAATACTGCAGTGTACCCTTTTTTCCCTCTCCCTTTAAATATATATATATTTGATACATATATCAATATATTAAATATATTTGAACAAAACTTAGAACGTATATGACAGCACCTTTCTGAGACCAAGTTTTAGCCAAGTCTCATCACCTCTCCTGTTCCCAGCAGGGGCATGGCTGACTCTGTTATAATAACCACTTTTCCCCAGCCCCAGAGACAGCTTTTGATGTCAGGTGTTTCTTTTACGTACAGAATACAGTTGTTTTTCCAGGAGAAAACACACATGGGGGAGTGCAGAGTAAGTGCTAAAATCTTTTAACAGAAAAACATAGAAGCTTATCCAGTAAAATTTTTCAGAGTGCTGGGTTTGTGGAGAATGTAATGCTCTGGGGAAAAGAGCAGACAGATGCTTAGGTTTTTTATTTCTGAAAGCAGCAACAGTTGATGGGATCTACTATCTGCTTCAGTTCTTCATTTAAAGGGACCGTCTGCCCAAACCTAGAATCCTAGGTTAGTTTGAGGTACGTGCTTACTTATTTATACCTAGGGTGAACACCTAATGCAGAGTAGAGGAAACAAAAGTTAATTGAAGCATAATTTTGAGAGTCCTTTGATTCTGAGCTTGATTTCCTCTGTGTCCTTATATGACAAATGTTTTCATCCTGCGTATGTAAATAGTAAAATGGTTGATCATCTCCCTAACAAATCTGTTGTGTGCTATAAAGAAAGGAAGTGACTATTGTATTTCTATTAAACAAGAATGTTTTCAATAAAAATTAAGTTTTTAAAACTGAAAAAAATTCAAACTATAGTTAAATGTTTTACTTAGATTAATTATAGAGTATGAGGTTAGCTTTTTTTACCTGCAGTTTTAACCTGATGTAGGTTATTTTCAGATGTTGATAAAAGGAGAGGAGTAGAACATCAAGGAACTTGGAAAGGGATTAGAATGTTTGTTTCCCTTTTCAATTTCAGTGTAGTAATCTTTCCAGATTACTCTGACTTTCTCTCATCAATGAAATCGGCGAAATACAGTTTGCTAAGACACGATGTCCAACCATAGTATGAAGTACATGAAAAGAAAATACCATAGAGCCTCTTAAACTGTTAAATGCATAAAATCCCATGTACCACATGGCAAAATATAATGAGAGTTGGAGCTGTTAAATGAATAAAGCTGTTAAATGCATAATGCCACTTGGCAAAACTACTGTGCATTTAATGGTTTTCCACTGTGTAATAAAGGACATATGTGGTAAATGTGCAGCGAGTATAAAAACTGCACAATTGATTTTGCAAACCTGCCCCTTAGTTGTGACTTGATGTAAATATCAAAGTTTCACACAGTCCTTTTATAAGCAGCTTTTGAGAAAAACTGAAGACCACAGTCTGAGAACTTGATTCAAAATGCCTATAATCTTCCTGTTGACTAGCACTATGGTTTTTGGAAATAGTGATGCCTCCAGCCTCCCAAAATAATTCAGGTAGCTGATTGAAAGCTGTTTTTGCCAATTGGCAGAAGCTTAGCTCTCCAAATTTTTTATGTCTCCTGAAGAAATCAGTAGCCCTGATTTCGTAGAATATGGAGGAAAACATAGTTCTGTGAATGAATATGCTGAAGGTAAGATTGAGCTTAAGTGAGGATAAGAGGCTTTGAGGTTATTCTTTTTTCACTGAAACAATGATCTCATTTTCATTTATAAGTAGGGAACCTTATTGTAAATAGCTGACTAGATAGGCAATTCAGGCATTATGTTTTTTTATAAAAATGATGCTGCCAAACAAAATGAACTTAACTGGTAGTTTCAAAGGCAATTTAACAAATGATATTCACTCTATTTTATAAGTATCAGTATTCACTTGATAAAAGTGAAATCAATTGCATGATTTAGTACATTGCACATGTATATTTGGTGCCTATCCATTAGTATATTTGGTGCCTATCCATAAGATGTATCTATGTGTGTGTACATGTCTATATATATGTCTATACATATACACACACACATAGATACATCTTATGGATATATATATCTTAGTCATATATATACACCTTATGAATTTATATAAATGTCTTAGTCATAGATGACTAATCATAAGGCTTAACCTCTCCAAGCTGCAATGGGGAGTGGCCACACCCACTCCATTGTATTATAAGGATGGAGAAGAACAAAGGTTTTTCTCTTGCATTTTCTTCCCTCCTTCTTTTATTTTTCTTTGGAGGGATCTTAAGTTCTTGCAGTGACTGAATAGGCAGATGCACAGCGAGGGCTTTCCCTTCTCCTGAAGGTGAAATTAGGGAAACCATTAATTAGGTACTCTTGTGAACTGGAGTTGCCTTGAATCCCTGAAGGCCCGGTTCAAATATGCATAGCAAACTTCTCCTTCCATCTGAAATTTCTTTTAAAATAGAAATGATCCCTCCATTAAGCCTTACTCAGTCCTTGGTGTTAATTGCTATAATCAGCTGTTAAGAATAATATCTAACACTGCCCTGTGTGTTAGGGAAGCCTTGAATCAGGAAAAAGGAGAGGGAGGAAAGTTTTAGAGAGAATAGGCATGGTGGGCCAGGAGGATCCTTGAGGGCTTTAAGTGTTTAGGGTCAAGGCACAATGCAAGGAAAGGGGTTCAGAAAAGGAGTTGAAAAGGTGGCAAACTAGTTCATTGTGAAATTCCATTACTGGGAAGTGTGTGTATATGTTTCCCTAGTGCATGGGTGACATGAGGATGCATTTGTAGGGTCCCAGACGACTTCCTGCAGCTCAGCTTTAGTACCTCGGTGATGGCCAGGCCACTCCATCATCCACTTCCAATTAGATATCTTCTATCAGACCCTTGCCCCTTTCTTCATGAGAAAGAAGTCAAAGAAGAGTAAGACCAGAGGGAAAGACATGTTTATGCACATTTTACCTTGTACTTTTCCTTCGTTTTCTATTTAGGACCAGTTTAATGATTTAAAATAATTTTCTGTGTGTGAATTCTAAGGATTACCTTCCTTTTCTCTGTGCAGAATACTCAGATCATGGAATGGAATGGCAGTGATAGTTCTCTGTGAAGCAGGAGTTAGGGCTTCTAAGTAGAAGCCATATGTAAAAGCACATGGAGTGTTTTCTGTATAACTCCAGTCTGACCCTCACATACAAAGGGCCACCAGGGAGCGAACACCCCTCATTCAGTCTGAGTGGCCACAGGAATGCTTTGTTCCTCAAAAGCTTCTGCTAATCTTCCTGTCCTTCTGCAGATTCTTTAGGGCCACATTCCCTCCTTCTTCCCAATTTTACCTCATCACTTGTGATCTGGGAAGTAGAAATCTAGAGCTGAGGAAACATTGTAACGTGTGGGCACATCTCCGGGGACGGTCCTGTGCTTTGACAGCATCATCAGCCACATCTCTCTCGCTTGACATCAATTACCCGATTTCCCAGAAACTGGTTTTTTTTTTCCTTCATATATCCTACTGTCTTCTCTCTTTTATAGGCTACAGTAGGTTAATGTATAGAATGCTAAGGATCATCTGAAGTTTTCTTTCGTTTTTCTTTTTTAAGAGGCGAGTGAATCTTTATTATTTATTATTATTATTTGCATATCCAAAGACCCCACACTACATATGTGATTGCTTTTTCCTACTAGGTTCAGGTAAAAATAGAGTAGGGAAAGAAATGGAAAGGGGTTCATTTCTCATCTTTATTTCCCCTTTCCTCCATTAAAAAGATAAAAACAAACTTCAGAAGGGCTGTAGACTTGTTTTTTTGTATCAGGAAGGTGGAGAGAAACTGACACTCTGTTCTGTTCCATACAGACAAGGGGAAAGAGACAGCCTGGTTGTAAACCCCAGATGGTGATAATGAAAGGGCCAGCCCCAGAGGCTGCTGGGATAAAAGAAAAAGGGTGATCTTGGAATGAACAGGGACCAAGGGAGTCTCTGGTGAGATTATATTAGTAAGATGTCTTCATCTTTACGAAGGTATATAGACCTCTGCCAATCCTCCATGCTATGTATAAAGGCCCACTAGCTGTAAGAGCTGCCACTAAAATCAGGGATGAGAGAGTTCTTCCTCCTACTGTACACTTTAGAATGGGAGGCACAATTATGATCCTATTGTAGCTAGAAGAGATGGATTTCTGGCTTTTAATACACAATTCTAACATCATTTTTCCCCATAGAAACTGTGACCTACATGGTGATTGGGTTTCAGTATGTTCTATGCCTCATGTACATTAGGATTAAGTGGATTTTGTGTACTGACCTTTATGCCTTATCACTGTGTTTCTACCAAAAAAAAAAAAAAGTGTTTCAAGTTCTCAACTACTTAACAAATTGTATTCCCAAGTGAGAGTGTACTTATGTTTTAGATGTAATTTACAAGCTCAGATTTTATGAACTTTTTTTTTTTCTTAAAATCTCTCCTGATAGATGGTCTAATTTGCTTGACAGGCTAATAACTTAAAATGTGTAGGTCTCTGTGGCAGATTATTTTTATATAAAACAAAAATAAAGGAAAGAAAGACAAATTAATTTTTGTTTTTGCATCTTTTCTTAAAAATGTCTCAGGCACATATTTATACATTTTTTAAAGAAATAATTTATATTTTGTGATTACATAAGTTATTTAACAGCCTCATCTTAAAAAATTCAGAAAGTGACAAAGAATATGAAAGTAAAAACATGGATCACCCATGATTTTAAGACCCAAACGTGGTTACTATTAACATTTTATAACCTTTCCTTTCAATGTTTGTATGTTTG